GGCTCCGTCGGTGGCCGGCGCACCCCTGGGGTGAACAGAGACGGAGGAAGCACCTGGAAGGGATCCTGGCGTCGCTGGCGGCGTATTCCAGGTCGTCCGAGGCCTGCGCGGGGCCGGGCGCCACAGACAGCGAGCTCTCCACGCGGCCCACATGCCTCCTCTTCTCCTTCCTTTTGCTGCTGACCGGCTCTGCCGCCGCTTTGGCGTCTAAAGGGCCAGCCGTGCTCGCCGCGTTTGGGGGTTCGCGGGACTGGAAGACAGAACGGCCAAACGCGAGTCAGCACGTGCTGCTGGGACGCGCAGCAGGCGATCTCGCCCGGCAGTGCTCTGCCCCGGCCCTGCGGGGGTCCCTTCCCCGGACCCTCTTGACGGAGGCCAGCCCGCACAGCCTGTGTGGGCGAGGAGGCCACCCCCGTGCCCGTCCCGCAGAACTCAGATGTCGCAGATGGGTGGAATCAAAACAGTAAGGGGCCATCGGGTCCCCAATCCCCGCCGTGCCTGCGCCCTGGCCTCGAGCCACCGACCGTGTCTCTTGGAGCCTCCGTTCCCCGTCTGTCAAAGGGACCCCCAAGGGCGCCCCTGGCGGTCGGCGGCCGTTGGACCCTTCACCCAACCCTCAGCCACGGAACCGGAAGGAGACTCCTGGAAGCCAGTGGGCCGGGCGCCAAGAAGTCCCCGGGTTTGGGGAGGCCCATGCCGGCAGGGGGGACATTGCCACCGGGCCTGGGGTGCAAGCAGCCCCGGCATTTGCCAGTGAGGAAGACTCTCGAACCCCTTTCCCACCGGGCACTCTGAAACCCAGCGGCGATGCCCCAAAGCAACCTGGGAGCCAACCGCTGTCCCCTCCCCACGGGGATTCCTTTAGGGCCTAGAGGAGCCTGATGGATGGGTCTGAATGCAGGCTCTGGGGCCAAACCTGGGGACCCAGGAGAACAAAGCTCCGCTCTCAGCAGTTTGACGTCTCCTCTTCCCTCCCCAAAGGGCAAACGCTGCCTGTGCTGAAAGGGCAAATGACAGGGGCTTTTATGTTTCAAGACTGGAAGAAAAACGTGCCATTTCTTTCTTTTTTTTTTTTTTTTTTTTTTGAGTTAGAGTCTCACTCTGTCGCCCAGACTGAAGTGCAGTGGTTGCTCCTGGCCACCGCAGCTTCCACCTGCTGGGCTCCGGCGATCCTTCCGCCTCAGCCTTCTGAGTAGCCGGAATTACAGGCACGCGCCACCACACCGGGCTCATTTTGATTTATTGTAGAGATGAGGTCTCGCCAAGTTGCCCAGGCGGGTCTCGAACCCGTGGGCTCAGGCAACCCACTTGCGTAGGCCTCCCAAAATGCTGGGACAACGGGCTGAGCCACCAAGCCCGGCCAACCCTGCCGGATTTTCAGTCTCCTGCAGGCAGGCCCCGGGCCAGGTTCAGAGAAACCAGCACACAGCAGGCAGGGCAGGTGGGGGCTGGGCTCCTGTCCTCGGGGGGAGCAGGGAAGACAGCAGGTGGGGTCCCGGCCCCTGTGGAACCCGCAGCCCCTCCCCGCCATCCCACAGATGGCCAGCACGGACGCTCCCCGTCCGTCCACCCTTCAGTGCTGCCCCGTGGGTCCTCGGCTGGGCATTCGGCTCCCCAGGGCTTGGGCAGCTCCTCCCACCGTCCCGAGCTGGCAAACTGAGTAGCGCCAGGCTCCCCTCCGGCCTTTTGGGGGGTCCCTCGGCTCCCCTTCTTCCCGTGGCCCCGGCGGCCGCAAGCCTCTTGCCTCCTGCCAGTATCCCAGGCCGGCGCCACCTCGCCAGGTCCTACTCAGAGCTTAGCCATTTATCTCATGTGTCGTTGCCCCAATGAACCGTGTCCCCCACTGGCAGGCCCTGTCAGCCACCACTCTCGTCTCGAGGGCTCGAGGATGAACATACACACACGTCCGCGCTCTCCTGGGAGAGAAATGCAGAGCCCGTGGACGCCGTGAGCCTGCGAGGAGAGGATGCCGAGACGGCAGCGGCCCTGGGCGAGGGGCACAGATCTGCCTGCGAAAAGCCGGATGGGCTTCCAGGAGGGGGTGCTGCTTGCACTGGGCTGTGAAGGGTGAGGCACCGCCTGCCTGGTGTGGGTGGGGAAGGGGGTCCCCGATGGAGGGCGGGGGTCTGGGAGCGGCGAGGAGGCTGCCCTGGCTCGGGGTGACGGAGGGAGAGCGAGGGGGTGGGCGGAGGTTGGAGAGAGGGGAGCCTTGAAGGTCAGCCTGTGGGCCTCGGGCTTCCGGCAAGGCTCCCGGAAGGGCCAGCCGCCTCCCCGCCGGCTCCCGTCCTCGGGCGACACCCTCCACCCAGAGTTCCACCCCCAGGTCTCCAGTTCCCTCAACCCACCGCGTGCAAGCCTCTCAGATCCTGGCGGGGTCTTAGCTGAACCCCGATCCCTGGGCTGGCCCGTCTCTCCATCTGAGGCCTCACACCCTCACAGCACGGTGCCTGGGGCTCAGGTCTCCAGGGCTGTACATTGAGGTGGGGTTTTCCTTTCTCCTGGCCTCTCGGCAGTGCCAGATGCGTGGCTTTCTGCAGGGCCGGGCTGGAGAGCAGGTGAGCTCGCCGCGGACTGGCGGGGTCCTCTGCCCCTCCTCCAGGCCACCTCGCCTGGGTGCCCTGTCTCACTGTCCCTGGCAGGGCATGGCCAGCACGATTCTGGATCCACCTCCTGGGCTCCCAGTGCCACCGTGGGGGGCTTTTGTTAAGATGGCACCTGCAGGACCACCCTTCCGCAAGGATCTGTCCAACCACACTGCCGGCCTCTGGCGAGCTGCAGGCTGATCCAGGGGAACACAAGTGGCAGAGAAGTGTGTGCCCAGCCGCTCGAGCGCAGAAGTGAGTGTCTGCCCTAACCCTGAGTTCACACCCATTTCAGACCCCAGGAACCAAAGACAAGTACCCAGCGGGCAAAAGGCCTTGAAAATCCGAGGCTGGCCTCTACCACAAGGGCTGCCTCTGATGCCCCCAAGTTGCCGCAGGGGACAGAAGCTATCATTCACTAAGTGCACGCCCCATGTTAGTTGCGATGTCTCACTCTGTCCCCAGGCTGGAGCACAGTGGTCCCTCATAGCTCACGACGGCCTCGAACGCCTAAGCCCAAGCGATCCTCTGACCTTGGCCTGAGTAGCTGGGACTACAGGTGTGTGCCACCACGTCCGCAGCGTGGGCCAACCTCACTGGAGGACCTTTCTAACCCTGCTGGATTTTTTGCATTTTTTTGTGAAGATAGAGCCCTACTATGTTGCCCAGACTCAAACTCCTAGGCTCAAGCAATCCTCCCATCTGGGCCTCCCAAAGTACTGGGTTTACAGGGGTGAGCCACTGTGCCTGGGCGCAATTCTCATTTTTAAAATAACTGCTGTGGGCCAGGCTCGGTGGCTCAGCCTGTAATCCTGCACTTTGGGAGGCCGAGGTGAGTGGATTGCCTGAGCCCGTGGGTTCGATACCCGCCTGGGCAACTTGGCGAGACCTCATCTCTACAATAAATCAGAAAATGAGCCGGGCGTGGTAGTGCACGCCTGTAGTTCCAGCTACTTGGAAGGCTGAGGCTGAAGGATCGCCGGAGCCCAGCAGGTCGAGGCTGTGGTGGCCGGGAGTGGCCACTGTACTCCAGTCTGGGTGACAGAGTGAGACTCCGACTCAAAAAAAAAAAATCTG